GCACTGCATTGAGGAAACTGTCTCACACACCTGGAAAATAGTTGTTAATACTTGGTTCCACAGATCGCCACTTTTTAAATATAGTCTGATTTGTCATTTATGCCAAGAATTGTTGTAACACCAAATCCCTTATCTCTTTTCTTTATTGTCACCCTTGTTTTTATTTTATTTACTGTGGAGGGCTGGTTTTGATGCATATTAACTTGAAAATTTATAAATTTCATTTCAGATTCAAAGATTTCCATGAATTTTTCCCGGATCGATTCCAAAATAAAACTAATGGTATAACACCGCGACGCTGGCTTTTGTTATCAAATCCATCTCTTGCAGATGTTATTTGTGAGGTAAGATTTCTGAAGATCTGGACTGAAAACTTGTAAATACCTTTAATATGATTTCCATGACTTATCGCGCATTTAATATGCTGTGTTATTTAATTTGGCTGAAATGAATAATATATCGATTGCCTCAAAAGGAATCACACTATCCGTCCTTCAAGGACCTTCAAAAGGTACTCCGTTTTAATCAGGTTGTAGATAGCAGCGGAGAATTACAATTTATGAATGGTACTTTATTAAATTAACGTTGATTTTCTATTTTTCAGAAAATTGGAGAAGATTGGATTACGGATCTTGACAAATTGCAAGAACTGAAAAAATTTGCTAACGATTTAGGCTTTTTGGATGCAATTCGCCGGGTAAAGCAAGAAAATAAAATGCGTGTAGCGCAATACATCGAAGAAGAATATAATATTAAAATCAATCCATCTAGTATTTTTGATATTCACGTACGTTATTTTTCGTCATTTTCACTTCATCAATCTTAAGTTATACTAAAACTTTTGTTTCTTATTTATCTTATATCATTATTGCTTGGTAAGTGGTTTTTATGACAAGCAATTTCTAATAGTTGACAAGTAATCCCCAGTAGTGCGTTTTATGTGCACATGATGACTAATATTTGATACCAAGTTTCATTTCTTTTATTACATTATACTGTATACTACGGCTTATTTGAAGACTTCACTGTGATTTCAGTTGCATTAGTATCAACCATTAAAAAAAGAAAAAGGTTGAATTCACATAAGTCTGTTGATACATAAGGACTTTTCAAAAAAAAAAGAAAAGTTATTTATGTTGGTAAGCAAATGATTTAAATAATTACAGGTCAAACGAATTCACGAATACAAACGTCAACTACTGAATGTACTGCATGTTATTACACTTTATAATCGTATTAAAACTAATCCAAATGCAAATATTGTTCCGCGTACCGTAATTTTTGGCGGAAAGGTTGTATTTCTATCGTTTTTTATTTAAAATCTTTCAAGTTTTTTTGGGTAGTTAACTGAACGAAAATTTTGACAAATTTTTTGTTATATCTCTAAATTTTAGAAATTTTTTACTAGTATAATTTCTGGAAAATAAGACTTTCAAGATTTTTTAAAAGATTTTCCCAGTAAAATATTATTTTAAAGATTAAGGTGATCTTTTTTCTGAATTGTTTAGCAAATTTTTGGGATTCTATTATGGGTTGGTATTTACTGCAGGCAGCTCCAGGATATCATATGGCAAAGCAAATTATTAAACTGATCGGCTGTGTTGGCGATGTAATAAACCATGATCCAATTGTTGGGGATAAACTGAAGGTTTTAACTTTTTTTTTTAAAGGATACAGAAAAAAATTTCCTTTCGATGGCATTATAAGAGAAGGGATGGAGTTGATAATGAAATTTTCTATCAAAAAACGCCGAAAAGTTCTACAAATTCCAGCACTCATCAATTGCTCCAAAAAAACTGGTCGTTTTAGGTGGTATTTCTGGAAAATTATCGCGTTTCTCTAGCAGAAAAAATTATTCCAGCTGCAGATCTCAGTGAACAGATCTCAACTGCTGGTACGGAAGCTAGTGGAACGGGTAACATGAAATTCATGGTTAGTTTTACAATTTCACTTCTACTAATTATCATTCTAACAGCCTGTATTATCTGATAATCTTGTATCCTTTGAAGTTCTTCATGACAGCTAGCAGTAATGTCATTTCGGTGAATAATAGTTAGATTTGTAGAACTTGTATGAGAGTTAATTGATATTATAGTGATTCTACTTTGTAACATGAAGTTTATTGTAGAGATTTTAGCGATGCATGGAAAAATCAACGAAAAACTCATAAACATAATGAATTATATGGTTTATGAATGAAATTTAGTGAAAAGATGAAAAACAAGTAACACTATAAATGTGGAATTATTTAAGTTGAATGGTGCGCTAACAATTGGTACTCTTGATGGAGCTAATGTAGAAATGATGGAAGAAATGGGTCGTGAGAATATTTTCATCTTTGGTATGGAAGTTGATGATGTTGATGCACTTGGCAAAAAAGGGTAAGTTTGTCAATGACATGGGATAATATTTTATACTTATTCCTACATGACAACCTAAAAAGGCTTTCGTTGCTAAAAGTTCTTTATTTATCATTTATATATCATTCTTCTTTTTTTTTCAGTTACAATCCAGAGGATTTCATTAACAGAAATCCAGAACTTGCAAAAATTATTGAGCAAATTGAATCTGGTTTCTTTAGTCCTGATCAGCCTAATTTACTGCAAGATGTTGCAATGGCATTAAAGAAATGGGATCGGTAAGTTTTTCCATATGTTTGTAAAATGTTATTATGCAGAATGAGAGAGAGACGTTCATGGGAAAAGTATGGGCAAATATTATGCGAGGGATACCTAAGGATTATTTAAGGTATTGTTATAAGGGGTTGAACTCAAATTAATTTTTACTTTTGAAACTTTAACTCGGTTGAAAAATAAATGTATTTTAATTAAAAATTTTTTTTAAGTTTTATGGTGTGCGCTGATTATGATGCATTTATCAAGTGTCAGCTGGAAGTAGAACGTACTTATCAGGTTTGTATGTTGGTTCATTTTATCTTTAACGTTTTTTGGAATATTTTTCTGAATTCTCAAACGGAAGTTAAGTTATTATTGAAGCTTTTATTCCTGATAAAAGACTCTTTGTAAACCTTATTTAACTTATTTATCCTATGTTTGCATAATTCAACTTATTCTCTTTATTTGCTTTAAAACGATTTCATGTACCGAATGAAAATCTTTCCAGAATGCGGATAAATGGACACGTATGGCTTTAATGAACATTGCAAGTAGCGGTAAATTCAGTACGGATCGTACAATTGCAGAATATGCTCGGCAGATTTGGGATGTAACACCAGGCGAACTTAAATTGCCGGCACCATTCGAAAGTTCCGAACATCAACAGCAGCAGAATAGCAAATAAAACCATTTCGACTCCACCTTTCTCCCTCTTTTTGTTCATATGCTTTTGATTAGATAATATATGATTTCCATGATAAGAGGAATGAGCTTGTTAGATAAGTTTGTCAGGAAGACTGATAAGGGTCGTGATACGACATGTAAGCAATGATAGAAATTGATACAGTTTTCCTTGTAGTTTCTTCTAGGTTTTTTTTTCTCTCATTTTTTCTTTAAGGGTTAATCGTGTAGGTTTTTTCTTTATTGTTTTCCTTTTCCTTTTTTTTTAAAAAAAATATGGAATTAATTATTCAATGAAATTACTGGAATTGATTGAGTGCGATAATTTATCTTTTTTTTCTTCCTATATAGTTAACTGTATTATTTGTATTTGAGTAATATATATGTTAACGAATATCGATATGCCTTTACATTTGTGCCATGAATTTTTTTTTTCAAAATGTATTTTTCGGTACTGTAGCATGCCTTAATATATTTAATGAATTTAGCTTTATGAATTTAAAAAACAAGATGTTTTCTATTTCATATCTATCTATTATTAAAAGAATTATTCAATGAAATTATTGGAATTGATTGAAGTGGTCAACTTATTCCAATCTTATCTTTTGAAAATTTTTAGATTTGAAAGATTTTTTTGTTTTCGAAATTACGTTCGATAAGTGTTTACACTTTATTTTGTTGCTTTATTAACTTCACATCATTATCATAATCATCATAGAGATTTAGAGCTAAGAGAAAACGTTTTAATTTCCGATCATTATATTCGATTAGTTGTGATGGAAGAATGATAATACTGTTTAGTACATCGAAATGACTACATAATTAACGAATCAAAATGACCAACATAATTGCCAAGTTGAAATGGTCACATAATATTTAAAGTTAAAGGAAATGTATAAATGATGGAAATATATGCAAATATAAGCAGATCGATAGAAGTGATGCTGGATTATGTATGAAATCTTTGATCTTATAAAAAACCTTATGCATAGAAAATTTTTTTCTTAAGCATAAATTAAATTTTCTAGTTCTAAAAAAAAAAAAAAGGAGTAGGACTCATTTGCTACAATATTTATTGTCTTTCTAAATTTCATTGAATGCAATATTAGTAATTAGTTTTTTTAATTTTCACAAATGAGGTATTGATTTTATTCGTAAGACTTCTTTTACCATTATACCTTATCATGACAATAGCTTTATCGATTTGTATGCTTTTAATTAAGAGTAAATGATTTTTCTGAGTATTTTTCTATTTTTAAATTTAACTTTTATGAATGAAAAAGATACCAACAATAGTTGAAATTGTCGAACTATTGTTTAGGTAATTAAAGGTAGGAGTATGAGATTAATGGTTGATATTAATAGATAGGTAAGATTATAGAAAATCTAACAGAGAATTGAGTTTTTCTGGGTTTCCTTCTTGAACAGCTTGTTTGAACTATCGAAATAAAAATGACGATGACAAATTTCCAATTATAAAAAATGTATCTATATGATTACGATTGTGATCGTGATTATTTAGTTATCACAATAATGAAAAGTGATAATTATTGCTATGGGATATGGAGCATTCTTGATCTACGGGTGATGTTCAAAATTTATCTCCTCAGATGAACAACTGCAGTAGCGAAGTTGTACAAATATGTATATTGAATGGTATTATTCTAATTTTTATCGAATAATTTAAGAGAACTAATTTCAAATATGTCAATTCGGCCATCATCGTCTCACGTTACTTCAGCGGATGATTCACCTTCGATACGTTTGACTGAAGAAGATGATGAACTTCCCAATACTCAGGTAATGATGTATAAAATGTATTTATTGATTTATAACTTGCTCTAAGTTGAACTATTGAGTTGATTGAGTAATTTCAATTATATAGCAAATGTTAATCATTCTTTTACATTATTTACTAATATCTAGCAAATATTTATATAAGATTGCAATTAGCTGCTGTTAATAAATGGCAATAATACAGATAAGTTAATTGAATTAAATAATTTCAGATGTTGCAACGATATATGGTTGATATTTATGCAATTACTGGTGCAATTGATGATATTGGCATGGTATATCGGAATCTAAGACCAATATGGGCAAATAATGCTGTTTCACATTTGGTGGATCCTTGCATAAAAATTTTATCAAAAATCCCGAGTTCCAGGTATAGTTGATATATTTTTTGTTTTGTAGGAATTCATAAAAGAAGTGAAATAGCTTTTACATTAGATGATGATTCATCGGGGGAAAATTTTGATTGCATAAGGGAAATTAATTTTTTAAAAATAGCATTATATGTTAGTATAATGGGTGTCATATGAAATTTTCGGTAAATTTTAAGGCAAACGTTTGAACTAATCGAAGTGGTTCTGGTAAAAATATTTTTGCTTAAATCTGATTGATGACTTACACTTTTATTGCCAGAGTTATCATGTTAGTCAGAGAATTGTTAAATATACGAGTGAACTTTATTATCGTCATTACTTATTTATAGGCCTGCTGTTTTGAACTATATTGGCATGCTGACACATGAAGCAACACATTTGTATTTATCGAAAAAAGAAAATCCACATATTGGTTAGACTAATTTAATTTACTCCAAAATTTCCACGTAAATGACGGATGGTAAGTTAAGCATTATATAAGGGAATAGTCATTGAACATAATTATGGTTGACCTACTGGTACTATGTTAGTAATAGAGAAGGTATGAAATTAAATGGTAATTTGATCTTAATTGTCCAAATATCACCTAAGGCTTGGACGAAAGAGATGAAGAGTAAGATAGGGATTTTAGGTTAAGTCGGATACCTGGAGATAGGGAAAAAGCGAGAGTGGACTTGTTCAGTTCATTTATAATCACTAAAGAAGTAGAGCAGTGATTGGAGAAGTTACAAAAATCGAAAAACAATAGAGTTGTATATCATCAGGAATACTGTCCGTTATTTTGCTAAGTTGCGGTGAGTTGAACTATGGAATGGTTGATGAACGATTTGGTTGAAAGGAGACGATTTGTAGCCACTATTAAGGACTTTTTTTAAGGGATTGATATATCTTTTGCAGCACGATATAATTGTACAAATCTTGGAATATTTCTTGCGTTAAATAAATTCTGATTACTCTCGATAATGTTACAGTTCTTTAATTGGATTTCATTTTTTTAAATTGTAAGTTTCGAAGTTATCAAAGGTATTTATGTCTTTTTTTTGACTGAAAAGACATAAATTATTCTAAGCATTTCAGCAGCCGATACTGCTAACATTGAGCGTGCCATACGGAAGCTTACAAGTGAATTTCGACGTCTACTAACTAGAACACAATCGAAAGGCTTCGCATTTGACGTACTTGTGGTACATTTTCTTGTTTTATGTTTCCTGACTTGCTCACTGATGTTCTGATTTACGCTAACTGGAAGAGTTTCTGAATATGAAAAGCATGCAGGAAAATTTCGGTTTGTCAAGGAATTAAATCGGATAGAATGGGTTGCGAAAGAATCAGGATAGCTTACCCATTAATTTACTTATTCTAAGGGAACCGATAGACTTAACGAAGAGCCTTTAGTGATTATACTCGTGAGAGTATTTCAAAAGAGTAACCTTATAAGTGATATGTGTCTCATTATCAGATTTGTCGATCACTTCTGATAGATTTGAGAAAATAGATGGCATGAAACATTGAAAGAAAATTCCGATTGCAATTGTTATCAATCAAATTTCGCATCATTTAATAGTGGAAAAATTGCATTAAAATCGAAGAAAAATGGGCGTATAAAGTAAAGAATAAGAAATTCAAGTTTTTTCTTAAAAATGCTCAGAAATAATCCGCAGTTCTTTTTTTTTCAGTGGGCTTGCAATCTGTTTGTTGAAATATGTAAATATAATTACGAACGTCCAATTGCAAAAAATGCTGGCATTACGCCACCTGCTTTGCTTGCATTATTTGATTCATGCCCAGCCGTTTCTAGTGTTATCAAATTAACCGATAAGGCGATCGCTTTGCTGTGAGTTTGTTCAAACAAATCTTTATTTGAATTTTGGATGAGATTACTTAACCAATGCTACTAAAATTAAAAGAAAAAGAATTACCACCGTTCTTAACATACTTTTCTAGAGTAAGGTTGGAAGTTATAAAGTGTTTAAGAATCACGGAAATATGTTTTGACGAATACAAGATTAAAGGAACAAGAACACAACTATGTTTGTAGTATTTAAGAATAGGATGTTCATCTTTTTTTTTTAATTGTCTTTAATTGTTATTTGTCAATAATTTCAGATTAAATACTACACCTGACGAATGCCTCTCTATACTGATTGATGCTTCCGCACATGGTTTCTGCTTTGCTTGGATATGGTTACACATTGCGTAAGTTCAACTTTAGCATTTTTGAGGATTTTCGAAGTTTTCATAGATTTTTTAGTGTTCTTTGTTCCTGCATAAACAGTAACAAATAGTTGATTTATGTGTTATATGAAATTTCGAAACTACGAATATATGAAACTTCGAAATTACGAATTCATATGAAATTTCAAAATTATATGAAATTTCAAAAAAAAAAAATAGTATTATATGAAATTTCGAAATTACGATGGGCTTAATTATAGGTTCTATAAAATTGCTGTAAGTTCTCAATAAATTCCTTTTTTTTTTTCAATGCCTAAAAATCAAGCTTTGAAAAATGTTCTAGTTTAAAAAAAATTGGTCTTTCTCTTTATAGTTCTTCGTTTCCGGATACCATTGTTGCCCATTTGTTAAAAATTGGAATACAAGATTTCAAGCACTATCTCAACACAGTACTGGTAATTCTTCAGTTCTTCATGAACACTAATTCGAAATTGATTTTCAATGTAACAATCTATGATATATCAGCTTAACTAACGTTACTGCCAATAAGTTGTAGAATGGCGAGTATTTTCCATTACTGCATATACATTTTAATTATTCAATGAATTCTTGGTCGAGACTTTGAAAACTATTTACTGTGATTTAAATCTTTTAAAATTTGTTCATCTTACTCATCGCTATCATGTTTTTTTATTTATTTTTTAAGTTGTTTTTTTAGACCTGTTTTTTAGATCAGTCAAGTACCTATAGAAGTTCATGAAAGTTATAAGCAAAAATTTCTGTCAGTATGTGATGTGTTCACTTTTCTTGCAACTCAAAACAACGCCGAATTAAGGAATGCAATGCGAGAAATGATATGCGTATGTTTTGTTATCACTTATCCTGAATGTTAATATTAAGTAAAAATATGAAAACACGATCTTTGTAATTGATCTTTTGTTGATTAGTTACGTCAGTTTAAGTTTGTGCTCACCAAATGAAGCTGATAGTGTGATAACTGCAGTAGTTGCAGGATAGTTTCCATGTTGCTTTCATCTAAAAAGAAATAAAAGTAAAAATTACTTTGAAGTGACTTTTTTTGCAGAATGATCGAGATGTCTTGGAAAATGCAACAGCTCTCCCAGAACAGCTGCAGAATTTATCATTACCATTTCTCATAAAAATGGTAGCAAATTCTCCAGATATATTGCGATTTTTAGTGCATAATGTTTACGATTTGGGTTAGTTGTCTTTTGTAATTTAATTAGATATTCTAGGAATTTAATTAGTTGAAAAATTTTATTTTTACTTGCATCCTTCAAAAGGATCATATAAGATTTTACCTCTTATGATATTTTTCTATAGTTACTACAAGTGGACTTCCAAAATTAACCAATTCTATTTGGAAAATAAAATTGTTTATTGATAGAGATTTCAGTTACAACTGGTTTTATTATCAGTGGTGCGAAATATGTGTCACAACTAAACAAGCAATGCCTGCTACCATTATTGCCAAATATGGAATATACTTATACTGCATTTATGCGTCAAATAACATTTTATCTAAATTCGGATGCTTTGGCACATATCGTGGAACTAATATTACCAATAGCTTTCGATGATAATATTTTCGAAAGTTTGCAGTGTTTTTTTTCTTTCTTTTTAAGTCTGAAGTAATTGACAAATTAAAATGATTCTTTTTCCCTGAAAAATAAATCCTGTTTTTGTTTTTACTTGCACATATCTATCAGTGGTCCTTTTGTTTCTTTTATTACCATACCATATATCATATTGTTTTTCAAACGCTTTTTGTTAAACTTAAGTTCTAATTTAACGAAGTTGAATATCTCACAAAAGAAGTGTTTGTCTTTATGAAAAACGCTTTGAAAATAAAAATGCTAAAATGTCAGGAAAAAAACTTCTAAATTTGTTCTTTCAGAATTCGGTGATTACGATCAGGCTTTCCAGGCATCGATGAAAGATAGTGCTTTGCAAATCTTGGTAAGTTACAACTCATGCTTATGTTCAATTACAAACTTGAAAACGAAACACATGTTAATTTTTTTATCTTTTACTGCTATTTCTAGACAGAGATAATTGGGATGGTGGTATCACTGGTTCATAATCAAGCAATGTATAATGTCGGCGAAAGTGCTCTCTTGAGACGATGTGCTAGTAGTTTTGAAGTTCTGGAGGAAACAATACAAAATTCAATAGCTGGTGGGGAAAAGTTGGTATTCATCTTACATTGCAATTTTTATCAATCCGTATTAGAATTTAAATTCTTAGTTTTCAGATCTTAATCGTTTGATCAGAAATGGATTCTTATTCAACATTACTTCACTTTTCTTAAGCAAATGAATAAATTTAATGGAGTCTTTTATATTTCTTTGTTTCAGATCAAAGTTATTTATTCCATATGTTCATGCATTTTGCATTGCTTCTGGTCCTGTGCGCACGGCGGAAGTTATTGCAAGATGCATTATTGAAGCAAAAGATGAAAAACAAGTGAGAATCTTTATTCGATTTAAGTTCTCAAATTTGCAAATTTCTATTGCTTCAGCCAAGTTCTACGAATAAAGAGCTACTACTGCACAAGTCAAGATAGTCTTTGATTTAAGATATTTAAACGATCATGAAAACATATTTGTTCCTCTCAATGTTTGCTCAAAAAAGTTGTTTTTTACTTTTCAGCTTATTTGCTTAATTTCATTGTTAACATCGTTAATTATCTTCGCACCGAATACCGCTGAAGATGCGATAACAAATTTTTTCGCCAATCGTACAACGTTAATGATTGAGAAGAAGCGTAAATCTTCGAAGAAACTTATTCGAATTAGTACGTTTTATGTTAGTTATATGTTAATTCAAATTTGAATTCTTTTTCGAAACAGTAAATCTGAATAGAAAGCTAGTTAATTCAAAAAAATTGCGAGGTACAGTCGCATTCGGCTAACATAAGCATTACTCATAAAATCCAAGGCAGACTAGTAACTATAATATAATGAATGTAACTAATATAATGAATGTAACTATGATATTTAACACTATAATGACTATGTCTGTAATGATTAGTGATTATAATGAAGCCGAATGGTAACCTATGATAGTAATTTCTCCAGTAAATGACGTATTATCCAAAACGATCCATCGTCCAAAATGTTTATTTAGATAATTCGTCCAATACTGCATCTTTCGACGATGATTTTTATGATGTTAAATGGTTACATAATTTACGTACTTTGAATGAATGGGAGAAAATGTCAGATGATGGACACATTATCAAATATATAAGGTTAACCCTTTTTATCCTCTTGATTTTGATGCTTTTTTTCTGTTTTTGAAATCTAACTAAGCCCAAAAAAATTAATGATGGATTGAATGTCTATCAGCGATTGCAAGTGTTCTGTTTCAGGTTCGAAATGTC